CCCCCCCCCCCCCCCCCCCGGGGGGCCAGCCCTGGCTGGGGGCCCTCTCTCCATGCTCCCCTGCCCTCATATCCCTCCCCCCAGCTCTGCACTGCCTGCTGCCCCAGCAGCCCCATGAGATGGACCCCCCCCCCCCCATTCCCGGGCACCGCCTTCCAGGCCTAGTCCAGAGGTCATTTCCATCAGCCCCAGCTGTCAGGCGGGCTGAGTGCGACAGGGCAGGCTGGGTCCACACTGAGTGTGCCCACCCCACAGGGGCAAAGGGGCACAGACAGCTTCCCCCCCTCCCACTCCCAACAGCTACAGGCCCCTCAGTCACCTGCTGCAGTCTCCCCGCACTGGGGAGCATGGGCTAGTGGTTAGAGCAAGGGAGGGGGTGGGGACTCCTGGGAAGGGGTGAGAGCTAGTCCGAGTTGGGGACATGGGAGCAAGCACTCCTGGGCTGTCCTTCCAGCTACAGCAGGGAATGCGGCCTAGTGGCTAGAGCAAGGATTGGACACCAGGTACCCACCCTGCCCTGATAGAGGCAGCGCCACTGGGGGAACCAGCACAGCTCCATGTACCCACCCTGGCAGCCACCCCATCCGGCCAACCCTAGCACCATGACACCTTCCACCTCCTCCCTGGTGGCCAGAGCCCCGGCAGTCCTGGCCAGTCCCCTCCCCGGAGATCCCAGCATGGCACACCACAGGCACTGAGCATGGAGGAAGGGAGCAGGCTGGGGGGCTCCCCAGCTGAGCATGAGCAGGGAGGCACAGACTGTGAGGGCCACAGGCCAGCTGAGCACCGTAAGCTGCTGGTGAGCACCTCTCCCCATTTAAAGGGACAGGTGGGCTGGGCTGTGGTGAAGCCAGGTGTTCAGGTGTGACAGCCTCACAGGCAGAGAGCAAGGACAAGGACCTCCAGGGGGAGAGATCCCAGTGGTCCCGTCTCACGTGGGACCAGCCTGCCCTCCGTCGTCTGCAAAGGAGGGGGCATGCCAAGCAGCAGCCCCCAGGATCGTCCCCTCACTTCCTGTAGGTACCACACAAGGCCCTGGGCTGCATGCCCCAGGAGCAATCCCACATGGGCAAAGGAACAGGCAGGACACCCCATGGTCAGGGGAGTGTGTGTGTGTGGGGGGAGCAAGGGAGGGTGCACCAGGGCCCACTGCAAGTAGTGCCCCCACCTGGCCATCAGCTCAGCCAGCACCCCTACCTGCAGCTGGGCTCCTCCCCTTCACGACTCAGCCCTCTGGTCTAGGCTCTCAGTGCATCTCCCCCTGCCCAGGACAAAGGCCTGCCACCCGCGGTGCCACTTCCCCAGGAGCCTCTGGGGAACCCAGGCCTGCCCGCTAGGCCAGGTCCCAGTCCAGGGACCCTCTACGTGGCTCCCATGGTGCTGCTGCACAGTCCTTGTTGCTCCCAGGAAGGGGCTGCACCCTCCTCCCCACAGCCCCCCTCTGCTGCCAGCTTCCCGGCTTTGTAAGCCCAGCCGCTCCGCTCCCAGCTGCCCTTCATCAGCCACTTAGGCCATTGCACCCCCTGGCTTGCCTCAGGTGCTGCCTGTAGGTGAATTGGCCTAATTCAGCCTTGTGGGGGTGGACTCCGTGTCCCACCAGGCCTTTCCCCTGTGGTCCTCCAGAGACTCCCCCTCCAGGGCTAGGGGCCAGCCCCGCTAACGCTCCCCTCCCTGGCCAGCCCCCCAAGAAGCAGCTGCTGCCGGGCCCCTACATTCATGGCACCTGTGACGGCGCAGTCCGGGGCTCCCTCCGTCCTGCAGCCCAGTAGCAGCACAAACAGTCTCCACCAGCCAGTAGAATACAGAGGGGTTCCTTGATTTTCCAGAATACAGCACGGCCCACACATGATGTGGCTACCGGGGCCGGGGCCAGGATGCCTCCGACCCTCGGGTTAGGGGTCCGTCACCCCCAGCTTAGCCTCTTCTCCCCATGCTTCCCAGACCGCAACTGCCTTCCCCCTGCTCCCCCAAACCTACCGTTGGTCTCTGCCCCCCTGCCTATTGTCTCCCTCCCTGCTCTCAACCTATCGGACAGGTTGGGGGTCTTTTGTCCTGCTGGGCCCTGCTACTGACAGCCGCCAGTGGGGGTCACCCACAGCCCACCGCCCAAGCATTGTAGTGACACTACACCGCAGCATCACCTGGGGAAACGGAGCACCAAAACCAAAGGCAGGGCAGCCCTGGCTTGGCTGGGGAGTGGGGTGCCTGCCTGTTTGGAGCCCCCCGGCTCAAACTCTCAGCCCTGTGGCCGGAAAGGCTGCAGTTAGCCCCAGGCAGTCTCTCCCTGTGAGCCCGGGGAATTGATGCCCGAGGTCACCCTGAGCAAGTGCTTCTCTCTGTGAAGCCTGGGCATTCGCGGGGTGGGGTTCAGCCCCAGGCAGGATCTCGCTGGGGCCTGGGAATCGGGGGTCACGGTCACCCCAAGGTGCTCAGAGCTGTCCGTGCGTCTCTGTGTAGGACCAGTTTGAAGAGACCGGCATGCCCCAGCCAGGGGACTCACCCAGAGGCTACATGGGCGTGGGGGAGAGGCCTGCCAGCTGCTGAGTGGCCAGATCTCAGGGAGAGGGGAGGGGGGCTTGCGTCCCTGTGCTGCAGGAGGTCTCCTTGGAGTCCCCGGAAATGTGGGCGGGGACCTCTCTCAGCCTGCCACCGAAGGCCAGGGTGTGGCACCTTTCACAAGGAGAGCTCGGCTCCCCACCGTGGGGCAGGCATCTGGGGGCGCCCCCCAGAAGTGGTGTCGGAAGAACACTAGCTCCCCCTCCCAGCCACTCACGTGCCCGTCCCTAGTGGCTCTGGCGCTGGCCATCTTGCTCGTGGGCCACTGCGGCTGTCAGACAGACCACGCCTGAGCCTCCCATGCCAAAACCACCCTCCCACTACCTCTGTGCATTAAGGCGGCAGAGAGGGCTGGGCAGCCTGTCTCCAAGGCCCTGGCACGGATGGGGTGGGGCAGACACAGGAGGGCAGGCTGTTTGGCCCTGCAGGACAGATGTCTTTGCCGGGGAAGGAGCCAGGCGACGCCAAACCCACCCCCTCACAGCCCCAGAGTGCCGGGGCAGGAGCCGGCGTTGGGGGACGCGGCCTCTCTTTTGTCTCCCACATCCTCCACGCACCAGCCGCCTCTCCCCTGTCCACCCCCGCCCTCCTCACCCGCACAGGAGCCTCCCTCCATGGTGCCACCCTGCACCTCTCGGCCTCGCTCAGCCCCGCTAAGGAACATGGACATGGTGATAATATTTGTATGAGGCCCACGTGTGCCTCGGTTTCCCCGCTCTCTGCATTGCTGGGCACTGTGTGGGATGGGAGGGAGTGGGATGGCTGAGTCACATGGAGACCGGGGTTAAACGGGGTTAAGGCTGCACCTGCGACTGGAGGATCCCATCAGCCAAGGGACCGTGCGCTGGCCGGGCGGGTCCCACCTGGAGACACAGCCATGGAGGTCGCTGGCCCAGTGAAGTCTGTTCCCTCCCCCACCTGGCCTCTCTCATCCTGGGACCAGCCAGGGCAGGTGCTGGCCCTGGGGGGAAGCAGCAGAAAGGCCCCGAGCTGGAGAAGGGCAGGGAAAGGTGGCTGGCGGCTGGCAGCTGCACTAGCCTGGGCGGCCCCGCTACGGACACCGAAAGGTCAGAGGCAGAGGAAGGAAAGACGGATGCAAAGACGGCACATGGCGCAAAGCCCTGGCTTAGCCCTGGCCGCTCTGTGCCAGGCTGCGGGCGCGCAGCGGCTGGGTGCCCGGGGATTGGTACGTGGCTATCGCGTTTTCCCAAGGCTGCTGGTGTTGCCGCAGACACGCCCTGGGAGCACGGTGCCCCCGTGGGCACAGCCCCAGCTCCCTGCAGGGTCTGGCTGGGCAGGGAGCCACAGAGCCAGGCCCCCAAAGGGC